CATGGGTAAAACATCATAATTACATTCTAAACTGATCAAATATAAAAATTAGGTTATTTAAAGTTGTTATTGTGTTGTTAGGTGATGTCAAGTATGACTCACAGCAATCCTATGAACAAAATATCTGAACTCTGTTCTATCCTGCACTATCCTCAAACAACCTGACACCTTAGAGACCATTGCAGCAGTCACCGTGTCAATCCATCTGGTTGAGGGTCTTCCTCTCCTTCTCTGACCTTCCACTCTTCCCAGCATCATGTCCTTCTCAAAAAAATAGCACCTCCTAGCAACATGCCCAATGTGGGGAGAAGCTTTATCATTCTTGCCTCCAAAGAGAACTCCAGCTGAACCCTCTGCAAGACATATCTGTTCGTTCTCTTGGCTGTCCATGGGATGGATGTTCAGTGCTCTTCTCCAACACCACACCTCAAAAGCGTCAATTCTTTTTCTGTCATCCTTATTCATTGTCCAGCTTTCAGATTAATATAGTGATTCCTATCCTCTTCAATATTTTCAACAGTTTTGATTTATTATAATCTGTTCTCATTTTCTCTGCTACATAAAATAGACATGACCAGATGATATCTTGATATTTTTAGAATCTTAACTTGTTATTCTGTAGTTCTCTTAGAATAAAGTAATTTTTCCCCATTTTTAATAGGTACTGTGGCGGTTTAATGGTAAAACTCCAGACACATTGGGACATAATACCCAACTCTATAAATGGCTCCCCCAGAATGACCTTCTTGGTAAGATTAGAAGACAAATGCTGAAAATATAAGTAATAGCTCATCATAATCTTCTAATACATATTTAAGAGTCTATGCTCTAATGTACCCCCCTATGTTTATATGTATGCTATTAATTTTATATAAAATATTCCCTTTTGCTATCTTCACCTGGCAATCTTCTAATCACTTTTCATGCCTCCATTCATATATTATTTCTTCTATGAAGTCTTTATTTATTAATCTGGTAGAAGATATATGTGCTTTCTTCTCAGAGATCAAGAAGCAATTTAAACACAGTTCTATGGGCAAAGTGATCTGGTTTCTAGAAAACACTGCCACATTATTGAGTTTCTTCTACTTCTCAATTCTCATTTTATTTCTAAAACTTATTTACATATTAATTTTTTTTCCTAAATTCTACTCATTCCTAGGTCACCCAAAAACCAAAGCTTTTATAACTCATGGTGGAACCAATGGCATTTACGAGGCAATCTACCATGGAATCCCTATGATTGGCATTCCATTGTTTGCAGACCAGGCTGATAACATTCTCCGCGTAAAAGCCAAAGGGGCAGCAGTGAGTCTGAAAATAGATACAATGACAAGCAAAGATTTGCTCCAAGCTTTGCAGACTGTCATCAATAACCCACTGTGAGTTTTTATTTTCTTTTTTATTTTTCCTATTGTTGTTATGTGTCGTTGAGTCGCTTGTGATTCTTAGCGACCCTATGTACAACAACCTGAAAACTTGCTCTATCCTGTGTCAATCTCACTGTCTCTGACACACGCACCCTGATTACCCCAGGCACTGAATCAATCCACCTCGTAGAGGGTCTTCCTCTCCTGTGCAGTCCCTCTGCCTTCTGAAGCATGACATCCCTCTCTAAGGATTGGTCCCTCCTTGCAACATGTCCAAACTATGTCAGACGAAGCCTCAGAATCCTTACCTCCATGGAGCAGCCCAGTTTAAACCTCTCCAGGATAAACCTGTTAGTTTTCTAAGCAGTTCATGGTACATTCAATACTCTTCTTCAGCACCACAGCTCAAAAGTATCAATTCTCCTTCTATCCTCACTAGTCATTGTCCAGCTCTTTGATGCATAGCAATTGATTGCAAAGACCATGGCCTGTATCAGACATGCCTTAGTCTCCAGAGTGGCACCATTGCTCTTCATTACCCTGGAGAAGTCTCTAACAGCAGACTTTCCCATTGCATACTTCCTTTAATTTCCTGGCTTCTGGTGCCAAGAGTGTTTATTGTGGAGCCAAGGAAACTAAAGCTGTGAACAATCTTGTTCTCTTCACCATCTACCCTGATGCTGCCAATTGGCCCAGTGGTGAGAATATTTGTCTTCTTCATATTGAGCTTCAGTCCATATTGGAGGCTGCAGTCCTTGACCCTCTGCAGCAAGCACTGGTCCTCCTCAGTTTCAGTAAGTATGGTTGTGTCATCTGCATTATGCAGATTGTTTATGAATCTTCCACCAATCCTGATGCCACACTTCTCCTCATACAGTCCAGCCTCCCAGATAATCTGTTCTGTATATAGGTTGAAAAGGTATGGAAATAGAACGCATCCCTTGCATACACCCTTCCCAATTTTGAACCATGCAGTGTTTCTTTGTTCTTTTCTAACAACTGCCTCTTGGTCTAAGTACAGGCTTCACATTAGCATGCTCAAGTGTTCTGGGATTCCTATTCTACTCAGAGTCAGCCACAGTTTGTTATGATCCACAGTCAAATACCTTTGCATAATCAATGAAACACAGATAGACATTCCTCTGGTATTTCCTGCTTTTGGCTAAGATCCATCTCACATTAGCTACAATATCCCTAGTACCACAACCCCTTCTAAACTCAGCCTAGACTTCTGGCAGTTCTTTGCTGATGTGCTGTTCCAGTTGTTTTTGGATAATCTTCAGCAGAATCTTGCTTGCATGTTATATCAGTTATATTGTTTGATAATTTCCACACTCTGTTGGGTCACCCTTCTTTGAAATGGGAAGAAATATAGATCTCGTTCAGTCAGTTGGCCAAATGGTTGTTCTCCAGATTTCTTGGCACAACTTGGTGAGCACATCCAGGGCAGCATCCATTAGCTGAAATATGCCAATTGGTAGACTATCTATTCCTGGGACCTTATTTTTTACTAATTCCTTCAAAGCAGCTTGGATTTCTTTCTTCATCATCATAGGCTCTTGCTCATATGTTGTTTCATAAAATTCTTCTGTGTCTGCCAATTGTTTTTAATACAGTAACTCTGTATACTCTTTCCACCTTCTTTTAATACTTCCTGGATCATTTAATAATCTGCCTAAAGCATCCATAATTATAGCAACTCAAGGTTTAATTTGTTCTTCAGTTCCTTGAGCTTAAGAAATCCTGAGTGAGTTGGCCCTTTTGATTTTCTGACTCCAACTCCTTGCACATTTCATTGTAATATTTTACTTTGTCTTCCCACGCTACCTTTTGAAATCTTCTATTCAGCTCTTTAGTATCTTGAATTATTCCTTCTGCTTTGGCTTCTTGTTGCTCCAGTGCCAGAGTATTTTCTGACATCCATTTTGGTCTTTTCTTCCTCCTCTGTCTTTGCAATGACCGTTTGCACTCTTCCTAGATGATACTCTTGATATCCTCCCACAACTCATCTGGCCTTCGCGCTTTGGTGTTCAAGGCTTCAAACCTGTTTCTGACATGGTTCTGAAATTCAGGCAGGATAGATTTAAGGTTATATTTTGGTTTCTGTGCATTCGATTTTATTTTCCTTAGCTTCAGCTTGGCTTGCATATGAGTAGTTAGTGATCTGTTACACAATCAGCACCTGGCGTAGTTTTCACAGCTGATAATGAGCTTCTCCAGTGGTTCATTCCACAGATTTCATTAATTTGATTCCTATGCATACCATCAGGTGAACTCCATTTGTACAACCTGCATTTATGTTTCTTATATTTGCAATGAATAAGTCATTGATTTTGCAAAATTCAATCATTCTATCTCCAGCTTCATTTCTGTTACCAAGTCCATGTTTTCCAACTACTGAGCCTTTTTCTCTGTTCCCAGCTTTTGCATTCCAGTCACCCATTATTATTAAAGCACCCTGATAGCATGTTTGATTGATCACCAATTGTAAAAGTTGGTCCCCCTATTGATATTAGATTATTACTTATTATAGATTTGATGACAGGAAAGTTTTAAAATAGCAATAAGGAGAATGAGATTTAAAGTGGCAGAATTATGAGATGGAAACAAAGTTGATGCAGGAGCTATGAATAGAACCACTACTACTCTAGACAATTTGCAACTTTCAGCATGAGATTTATGGAAAGTTTTTTTTAAAAAAAATGCAAAAAGTACTTTTTTAAACTGACATCATCTTCTGTAAAAAATAGCAAGGACCACATTGGAACAGCCAAATCTAACCTTGACCAATTTCCCAAAGGGAAACTATCCCTATCAACAACATCAACAACACAAAACCTATTCCGATGAGGTCACACATGTCCTCCACGTTCCTGTGCCTCTTTCTACTCATCTCAGTGCTAATCTTACTGCATTGCTGGATCTAAAATATCATGTTGTAATTCATGGACACACAGAATCATACTGAAGAGTCAAAAAAGGTTATAATACAGGTTAGCAGCAGAATACAGTCAGGACAGCTTCCAAAACATGCTTGTAGGATCTTCAGCCTGAACTTCATGGCTTTAGGCCAGTGTTACAAAGCTCTCAGTCAAGCCAAATATTAATTTTCCCACCCTTTCCCCCTAATCTGCCTCCAGTCTTCCAGTTGTCCAACAAATTAGGACAAAGGCTCTTAGCTCTGGTTCCATGAGGTGTAGTAGCATTCCTAAAGTAAACTTCATCTTATGCTGGGTCTCTGGTCCTCTGCTTTGGGCATGGCTGCTGCTACAGTAAGTCTACTTGGCTCAGGAATATCTAGGCCAGAAGGAAATGTTACATTATCTTGCTTCTTTTTGCTGGTGGGGAAAATCTTATCATTTTACTACTAGATCCACTCTATTTAATGGTGAAACTAGCCAATCTAACCGTGGACAGGCTAACACACCCCATTTGCATATTCCTGCCCATCCACATGGTGAAGTAAGTTAATGAATAGGAAAGCCATGTTGCACAATAATCCCTTAACATTAAAATCTCAATTTCCATTATTTTAAGCCAAAACTCAAAACTCATTACCATAATGTTGGAACTTACTCACAGCTGACTCTTTCAGATTTCTAAAGTGGTAATAGAAAGGATACCGTACATTTTCCTCTTTCTGGGTGATTTGTTGTTGTTGGTAGGTACCAACGAGTTCAATATGAATCATAGTGACCCTATGAACAAAATATGTGAACCTTGTTCTATCCTGTGCCATCTTTATACATCCTGACACACAAGAACCCATTGCAGCTGTCACTGTGCCAATCCACCTGGTTGAAGGTCTTCTCCTTCTTTGCTAACCCTTCACCCTTCCCAATGTTGTGTCCTTCTCCAAGGAATAGCACCTCCTAGCCACATGCCTGAAGTATGTGAGGTGAAGCCTCATCATTCTTACCTCCAAAGAGCACTACAGCTGCACCCTTTCCAAGACATATCTGTTTATTCTCTTGGTCATCCATCGGATGTCCAGTGCTCTTCTCCAATGTGACAGTTAAAGGTGTCATTTTCCCCCCTGTCATCCTTATTCGTTGTCCAGCTCTCAGATGCATAGCAAGTAATTGGAAATACTATGGCCTGAAGCAGATGGCCTTTTTTCCTCAAACTGACGTCATTACTACTCAATAGTTTGGAGAAGTTTCTAACTGCAGATTCTCCCAGTGCAATGTGTCTCATTTCCTGACTGCTGGTACCAAGGGTGTTAATTGTGGATCCAAGCAACTGTCAACAGGCTCAGTCTCCTCTCCATGTTGTCTGTTAGATACCATATAATTGATTGGGGATTTTTGATGTTGTGTTTTTTAGTTGATTATTTTAAGGAGTGCATTCTTCTTGGGAGTTATTGTTTGTTTTATAGTCCTAGTATCTTGTTAAAAGGCCTAGTTTAAAGTTAGAATTTTGTCTAAGAGTGATAGTTGGACATTTTCTCTAATCTCTTTCAGAGATTTTTATCATGATCTTTTAATATTCCATTGTAAGAATTTTAAGTAGTGATAGGCAGATTCTATAGATTTTGTCTGGTCTCATATCAGAGGAAATGTGTTTTGTGCTAGCCATCAGTCCTTTGCACTAATAACTTTCTTAAGTCTTCCCTTTTCTTGATTCTCCTTTGCTCTAGGCAGGAAGAAACAAATTATTGTTTCTTAGATGGTCACTTAGAAGACGTTAAAACTCTGTACGCTATCCATTGGGCTAAGACATGTTCTTGTTGCTATTATTGTTACTAGAAACCATCAAGTGGACTATGACTCATAGTGACCCTGTGAACAACAAATCTGAACCTTACTATACCCTGTTCCATTCTCAAAATTAGCATGCTCCAGTCCATAGTTACAGCCCTTCTGTCAATCCATCTTGTTGAGACTCCTTTCTTCCTCTGACTGCTTACTACATGACTCAAGAATTTATCCATAGAATCCTTCAGTATGACAAATCAAGACTTTAACTTGTTCTTCAATTTTTTTAGCTTGATAAATTCTGAGCATATTCTTCCCTTTTTTGGTTGTCTAACTCTGGCTCTTTGTACATTTCATTATAATGCTTTGCTTTATCTTTTCAAGATGTCCTATGAGATCTTCTATTCATCTCTCTTACTTCAGCATTTCTTCCATTAGTTTTAGTCAAAGTTCTAGTGCAATTTTCAGTCTCCTGTGACACCCACTTTGCTCTTTACTTTTCCTTTTGTCTTTCCCTTTCTTCTCTTTTGCTTTCTTCATAGATGCTATCCTTGATATCATCCACAACTCATCTGATCTTTATCATTGTGTTCAAGGGATCAAATCTATTCATTAGAGAACTTTTTAAATTTAAGTGGGATGGGGTCAAGGATGTATTTTGGTTCCCTTGGATTTATTTTAATTTTCTTCACTTCAATTTGTGCTTGCACATGAGTAACTAATTAGCTGTTCCACAGTCAGTCTCTGGTCTTGTTTTGACTACTGATAATTGAGACTCTCCATGGACTCTTTCCACAGATTTAATAAATCTGATTCCTGTTTAGTCCATCAGGTGAGGTACATGTGTATATTTGCCATTTATATCTTTACAAAGGTATTCACAATTACTAAATATCTAATTGTACAAAATTCTATCATTTAGTTCTTAGCTTCATTTCTGTCACCAAGCAATATTTGCCAAACACCAGCCCTTTTCCTTTGTTCCTAACTTTTGCATTCCCATCACCAATTATTATTAATATATTTTGGTTACATGTTCTGTCATTTCAGACTGCAAAATTGGTAGAAGGATAACAGATAAGAATGATAATTCTTCCACCCATAGTTTAAAAATAAAAAATATTTCAAACACTGATTGAAAGAATAAACCGAATTGACACATCAAATAGCACATAAATAAGCACAGTCATCTTCAACAACTACCTATCTCATGTAAGAACAGATAATCCAGGATGACAGCAGCAGCTGTATCCATAGCAGCTGAAAAGTTCTTGATGCTTATATGAAACATCAAATAAGAAGACTAGGATATAGAAAATAGGACTTACGAATTATATTTTGCCAATTGAACTAGACTATGAACTAGTCCCTAATGTCTAATGACTATGGTCCTTAGCCCTCAAGCCACTTAGTCATCATATGATCATATGACAATTTTCTCTTTATTATATCTTGACTTTACCTTTACCATAATTAACATTTCTGTACTAGAGAGTGAGTTTCTCTCCTATCTTTGGGGATCATCAAAGAATATTTCTTTGTAAACCTTGACTATTTATAGTATGTTTCTCATACAATATTTGTTGTTTTGTCAATCACCTGTTTTACTCAGTATTATGTCTTGTAGGTTTTTCTATGGTGTAAGGTGTTTTCCAGATTCATTATGTAGAAATCTATTGTACAGATAGATCACCGTTTTTCACTCATTTATCAGCTGATGGACACTTAGGCTATTTATATCTTTTTTTTATATTGTAAATACTGTAACAAAATGGATATGTATATGTCTATTTTGCTCTGGTGACCGAGTGGTAAGAAGATGTGCTGCAAACCTGAAAGAAAGCAGTTTGAATCCATCAGTTGCTGCACAGTAGAAAGATGAATAATGTCTTCCCATGCAATTAATTCCCTTTGAAAACCCACTGGAGGGTCAGCTATGGGTCAGTTCTGACTCAACAATACCCAACAACAACATTCATGTCACAGCTGTTATTGCTCTAGCATATATACTTAGCAGTGGAATTACTGGACCATATTGCATTTCTATTTCAAACTTTTTAAGGAAGCATCATGTTTTCTATAGTAATTATATCATTTTGCTGTTCTTTCTACACCTGTGTGAGAATTCCAGTCTCCCCTCACCCTTTAAGTATTCCAGTATTTATTTGTTCTCTCTCTCTCTCTCTCTCTGTGTGTGTGTGTGTTGTCTGTGTTGTGTTTATCAGTGCTATTAATATTAATACCCAAGTGAGATAGTATCTCACTGCAGTTTTAACTTGCATCTCTCTGATGGATATGAGGATTTATTCAAGTATTTGTTAGCCATACACCTTTATTCACTGTTCTTCTTTGACCATAGTCATTTTCAACAGAAAAATAATAATAATAATATATAACTGCCATGCATTGAAGTGAAATGTTGGATACTCTTCAGATTCTAAAATAGCACTAGTAACAGTAATAAAAGCAAACATTTACTAAGAAAACAAGTCCTCAATTAACTTCAATGTTTTATATCTTTATGCATTCAAATAAATATTTGCTTGTACACTAAAATATCTCAGAATGAAATGATACGCTTTTCTTAGTCTCCTAAGTGGCATTCATGTTTACTATTTGTGTCAAAATTTTTCTTTTTTATTTTTATTTTATATGTATGTATGTAGGTATTTCTCTTCTAAGTTAGTGTCTATTTGATTTCCCTTTAGCTATAAGGAGAATGCTATGAAGTTATCAGCCATTCATCATGATCAGCCTGTTAAGCCCTTGGACCAAGCAGTTTTCTGGATCGAGTTTGTCATGCGCCACAAAGGAGCCAAGCACCTTCGACCAGCTTCCCTCAACCTCACCTGGGCCCAGTACCACTCCTTGGATGTGATTGGGTTTCTACTGGCTTGTGTGGCAATTGTTACTTTTATTGTCTTAAAAAGTTGCTTGTTTTGTTACCAAGTGATTTTTAAGAAAGGAAAGAAGAAAAAGAGAGAGTAGAGCTCTTTAAGATCTATAACTAGTGGACATGTTAAATAAGACCACTACATTCAATTAATATAGTTCATATCTGGGAAGATTCTCCTCCACTTTTCAAAAGCTGTACCTTTTCTGATTTCTCCAGATATACAACTTTTAGTTAAGTGCTGTGGTGTTAGCTAATTCATTCTTCCCTAACAAGAAATAGTTCTGTGTTTTTGAGTAATTTCTATTTCACATTCCTCTTGAAAAAAACAGTTCTATTCTTTAAATGGATTATTTTTAAGATATTATTTTTATCTTTAAAATACAAGAAAGAAAATTTTACTTTAGCTTTGACTTATGCATTACTTCATAACTGAAAAACAAAATGAAATTCACTAGAACTTCCAATGTTGATTTGAAATAATGAAGAAGTCTGATGCTTTCGTTTCATATTCAGATACACTGTATGTATAAATAGTGTTCATTTATATGAAATACAATATTCCTTATGAAATATAAAGCAATTCTTTCGGAATTTTTTTCTTTCAGAAAATTTTATTTGTTTTACTGGCTTCCTTCCTAAAATAGGTAATCATTTAAAATTTATTCATTAGAAAGACCAAAAGTATTTTTCACACCAGGTTTGAATATGTATTTTGTCCTTCTTTTACTGTATGGCTTTTGTAATCAAATATTAGAACACAAATTGAAGGGAGAGTGCAGCTCCCTTAATTCAGGTGAGGTCTGAAAAGTTTAGTCTAGTTCAACTGGATTATAATATTAAAATATAGATCTTTCCTTTTGAGCAGAGGACATAAAATAACACCTCAATAGAGAAGACATCAAAATGATCAATAAACACATGAAGAAATGACATTATCAGGGAATAGAGCAAATCAAAACAAGATGTTTTTCACCCCAGAAATAGTAGCAAAGTTCAGCAAGACAGCAAACAGCACATGCTGACCAGAGAGTGGAGGGATTAGAAGTCTCATACACTGTTTGTGAGAACGCAAAATGGTGCAATCATTTAATTCAATAATCCCATTGTTGTTGTGGTGGTGGTGGTTGCTTGCCATTGAGTTGAGCACAACTCATAGCAACTCTATGAACAAAAACTTAATGCCTTTCTAAAACTATCATCATTTCTCCAAGTTCATAGAGTTTTCGCAGGCATGTGGTTTAGAAAGTGGGAGCTACTCCTGCTCTCAAACCTGTTTTACACCTGGGAGCTCCACCAAACACTGTCCATATTGGGAAACCATTATGGCATTTAACACTCCAATGACACAAGGTTCAGCATCACAGCAAACCTCGATTACCTCAAATACAGCAAATTAACTAAGAGTGATGTACACAGTAGAAGAATGTACCTCCAAAATACTGCACTTGTTTCACTTAGCACTGGTTAGTGCCGTCAAGTCCATTATGACTCATAGCAACCCTATGAACAAAACACCTGAACTCTGCTCTATAATTAACATTATTTCTCTATATTCATAGAGTTTCCAAAGGCATCTGGTTTAGGAAATGGATGCCACTCCTGCTTCCAAACCTGAATCAATCTTGAAACTCCACCATACACTGTCCACCATAGGTAACCATTATAACATTTGGCACATCAGTGTCACAGTGTTTAGCATCACAGCAACCACGAGTTGCCTCTGTAAAGCTTTTTACAGGCCAGTGCTACATGCTATACCACCTAAAAGAATGTTTGACAAAAAAACATTTTAAACCAGGCCCTCAGGTCCTTTGAGGCTTTAAGCCTCTGCCTGCCTTAAACCCTAGGCCAAGCCTCAAGGGTGTATTATTTGGGCATATCTACTGCAATGGACCTCTCTACACTTAAAGAGTAAATATATCACTTTCGGTGTTTAAATTGTGTTGAAATAAGGAAGACTGAAGAAATTATGCCTTTAAGTTTTTCTATTAATAAATAACAGAGAATATACACAATAAACACACTTGGGACCAGCAGCCAAGAAATCAAAAGATGAATTGCATTGGGAAAATCTGCTGTCAGGGACCTCTCCAGAATACTGAAGAATAATTATGTCAGTTAGAGACTAAGCTGCACCTGATCTAGGTCATGGTCTTCAAAATTACTTGTTATAATCAAAGAGCTAGACAGTAACTAAGGATGATAGAAGGAGAATTGCTGCCTTTGAGCTTTGGTGCTGGAGAAGAATATTAACTGTTAAGAGAACAAACAGGTTCATCCTGGAGAGAGTGAGACCAGGCTGCTCCTTGGAGCCAAGGATTCTGAAGCTCCATCTGACATATTTTGGGCATGTTGCAAGGTGGAACCAGTCAATGGAGAGGGATGTCATGCTTGGAAGGGTGGAGGGACAGCGCAGAAGAGGAAGACCCTGGATGAGATTGATTGATTCATGTCTTGGGTAATGGGGTTAGGTGTGTCAGAGACAAAGAAGTTGGCTCAGGACAGAGTAGGATTCAGAGCTGTTGTTTCACTATGGGTCTCAAGTGACTCAATGGCACATAACAACAATAACAACAACATACCACAGAATACCAGAAAAACAAACCTGTTGGAAGAATTGAAACCAAAATGTCACCCAAAAGATGGCAAGACTAAACTCTCTCCTATTTTTCATCTCTCTATTGGCCTATTGGCAAGAAGAAGAGCTGCAATCCCAAAGGCACGTCATTCAAGGCCACCAGCTGCTCCTTGGAAGAAGGATGGGGAATCTCCTCCTGGAGGATTAACTGCCTCTAAAAACCTGCAAGAGGGTCAGGGATGGGTCAGCTCTGACATTACAGTACACAGAACAATAACAACAATAATATCAGAAAGTATTAGTCCTTGGAAAGAATCATGCTTGATAGGATATCAGATCAATGCCTCTCTTTATTTGGAACAAAAAGAGAAGAAAAGTAATGTTCTGAAACTATTAACCCAAAGGACTAATGTATCACAGAAACTTCAACGTCTTCTACCAAGAGAGCAGAACTTGTATCCAGCTAGCTTGCTGTTGACTCTAAATGAACCAAATAAAAGACCCTACATAGAGTGTGCAAAAAATGTGAAACAAAATTCAAAAACATATAAAAGGTCAGACTTAATGGTCTGCCAGAGACAGGACCTTTAGTAACCTTCAAACATGAAATAAAACTCATCTCCATAGCTCAACTTTAAACCAGATCAAAGCAATTCATTGCCATCTAGTTGCAACCAGCTCACAGCTGACCTCCAGTGGGTTTTCAGGAGCCTATAAATCTCATGGGATAAAATTGTCTGTATTCCTTCTGTGAACTGCCAGAGATGTGTTGCCTTTGAATTAGCTGTACAACTCCCTACAGCCTATGCTACCAGAACTTCTTTTGGCCATGCAGAGATGTCTTTTTTTTTCTTTTTTTTTTTTTTTTGCTTTACACTTAAATTTGATTTAAAGGCAGTACTGTGGTAATTAATGGATTGCTTCACACTCTCTACAAGACTTCTTTTCTTTTTTTTAAACTTTTTTTATTTCTTTTTTTTTAATTTAGGTTGTTTATTTTTCATTTCAATGAACATCTACAGAGATTTTGGGATTCCATTCATTCATTGTTGCACCCTTCTCCCCGCACAAACCCCCCCCCCCCCCCCCCCCCATTTGCTCCTCTCCTTGAAATGCAAAAGAAAAACTCCCTCATTTCTTTAAGGCGAACATTGTCTTCGCTTTTGGTCTTCTAACTCCAGCTCTTTGCACATGTAGTTATAATACTTTACTTTGTCTTCTTTCAATGTTTCCCTTTGAAATCCTTTATTCATCTTCTTTACTTCAGCATTTCTTCACTATATTTGGTCTCTCCACATACTTTGGGCATGTTGCTAGGAGAGGTTATTTCTGGGAGAAGGACATATGCTTTGGAAGATGGAGACACAGCCAAAGAGAGGAAGACCCTTAACCAGTTGAGTTGACACAGTAACTGTGGCAATGAGCTTGAGTGTTAGAGACTGTGAGGATGGTACAGGCTAGGACAGTGTTCAGATTAGTTGTTCGTAGGGTCGCTTTGAATTGTTCTTGGCAGTACCTAACAACAACAACAACATGTTCTAATGCAATTTTCAGAATCTCTTCTGATATCCATTTTGGTCTTTGTTTCTCCCTTGTTTTCGTAATGACGTAATGCTTTCTCCATGGATTATGTCCTTTATGTTATCCCATAACTCATTTGATCTTCACACATTAGTGTTCTATTAAATTTACTCTTGATATTGTATTTAAATTCTGGTGGGATAGACTCAAGCCTGCATTCTGCTTCTTACGGTCTTCTTTCCATTTTCTTCAACTTCAGTTTTAACTTGCACATGGGCAACAACTTGTACTTGGTTTCATTTTCTTCACCTTCAGTTTAAACTTAAACCTGATTGTTTCTCAACCAGGCCTGGACCTTGTTTTGACTGCTGATATTTAGCTGCACTATCAACTCGTTACAACAAATAGGAAGAACAGATATGGATTGGCATTTATCAAGATGAAATAACTGAAGAATAAATTCAAGCCTCAAGTTGCAATACTAAAGGATGTTGTTGTTGTTGTTATTATGTGTCGTCGAGTCACTTGCGACTCATACTGACCCTATGTACAACAGCCCTAAACTCTTCTCTGTTCTGTGCCAATTGCACCATATCTGACACACCCATCCTGATTATCCCAGTCACTGAATCAATCCACCTCATAGGGGGCCTTCCCCTCCTGTGCTGTCTCTCCACCCTCCCAAGCATGATATCCCTCTCCAAGGACCTGTTCCCCCTTACAACATGACCAGAGTATGTTAGACGGAGACTCAGAATCCTTGCCTCCAAGGAGCTGCCCGGTTTAACCCTCTACAGGTTCAATCTGTTTGTTTTCCTAGCAGTCCATGGTACCCTCAATACTCTTCTCCAGCAGCACAGCTCAAAGGCATCAATTCTCCTTCTAGTCTCCCTAGTCATTTTTCAACTCTCTGATGCATAACAAGTGATTGCAAAGACCATGGCCTGACACACCCTAGTGTCCAGAGAGACACTATTGCTCTTCAGAACTTTG